TTCTTTGACTGCACCCAGCATATCTTCTCATGCAACTTTGATTACATACACCAGCAACTGCCAACCTTAAAGTTAGAGACCATCATTCTGGAGAAATACTGTTGATGTTATGTTCCTCTACAACTAAACTGCGTTCTTATTTACATATTTTGTCTCCTAAAGGCAAGGCTGTGACGTAAATCAAAGGTTTCTAGTGTAAAAGGAGCCATAAAGTCTGCATAAGATGATTGGAGGGGAGGATGGAGGCATATATCAGCAACAAGCAAGGTTTTCCCTCATTAGGTTTAGGCACCAAACGTAGTTTAGTGGTTTCGCATAATATCATGGTTTGGGTTAAAATTTATCCTTTTGCAACATGTTTGAAGCTTCTTGTCCATTTTCTGGGCTACCCACACTGTAAAATGTATGATTGGTTGGCTGAAAAGCAGCAAAGAAGTAAAATAAATGACAAAGATTTAAGATTGATAGGACATACGTGTGATAAACAAACTGTTTTCCCTCAAGACGTAATTAGGATGCAGGTTAGTTGTCTAGGAAACTCATTTTTGGAAGAGAGGGCTGCCCTGCCTCTCTCCCATCTCCCCTATATTTCCACTTGAGATATGAATTTGCACAGGACTAGCTGGGATACTCTGGTGTGGAATTGGTCCGAGCCACTTGGTTGGTTTCCCATTTACAGAACCAGAACTGTATATGAATATATTTTTAGAGCATACAGAGAACGGCCACACAACCACGAAGAGATGTTCACTAAATTTGACATAAAGTGGGTTTAATTTGTGTTGCTGGCTAAACCTTTAAAAGCAACCAATTTTCTCAAACATCTGCCCACTTCTAGAGATCCTTTCCTACGTTAAAGTCTGTGTAAAGCATCAATAAATACATGTTGTGGATGTGTCACACCACAGAGAACCAATCAGGCATATCTGAATGATTCAAAACATCACCAATTACATACAATTAAGTTTGAAAATGATGAAAAAATAAGCCATAATCACTGCTCTGAGGCGTGTCCAGTGAAGGAGCTGATTGACAGCTTTTACAGAAGCTCAAATGAACCATGCAAACAAACCTTAATCAAATCAGACAGATGTGAAATCACAAATGGAGACAGCTCTGTAGATATGGAATATTTTGGTCTCTTTGCAGCTGTGGACTAAGTTACCTACTGTAATAAACTGAGCACACAGAGCAGCTTAGACTGCTTAGAACTGCTTAGTGTAAACTGATCACTGCAGAGGAGAGTGTTGATGTTGATCTTCAGCTCTTCAACAGAATCAGTCCAGCCTCTTTTCATCTCATCATTCTTAGAAAACTTAAACAAGGAGACTGAGCTGTTCTGCAAATTCTGACATCCAGGGAAGATGCATTTGCTGGGCGGAGGCATTCCTAGCAAGCAAACTGATGTAGTAACTCATGCTTGAGGAGGAAATCTACTGATGCTAATGCACGCTATTTCGGATTTGCCCAGAAGGTCCTGAACATAACATAGATGTAAAATTGTTTATTTGTTCAGCAGTTATTTCCTGATATATAGAAAGTGTCTAGAAACAAATCCCCCAGTTTCCTTCAAGCAGACTTTAACACATGGGCCACATTTGAGACAGTTGATTATTTCACATGGGAGATTTTTGTGGGGTTTTGTTTTGCATGACACTCATTTTAATGTATTTTCATTCATCAGTCATTTTTTTTAGTAGTTGTTGGGTCACCAGTACTGATCTGGTTTCACACAGTCCTGAAGACGATTATCTGTGCTTTTGAGCGTTTAACTCTACATAAATAATATCAGGGATGTCATTTTCTTTAGCTTTTACTTTAATTTGTGCTTATTAACCCATACATTTTCAGGTTACAGAGAAATACCCGCAGCGACAGGATGTTATTTTCGCCTCACCAAAGAGGTGTTTGATTAAAATATGCTGCTTCTATTTTTATAATTGATTGAAAGTGGCAAACATTACCTTGCTGTAGCCTATAATTTGTGTGTATTTTCTGCTTTTCCTTTTATATATTGCTGGATACGGACTTTCTCGGGGTTTTGGGCTGATGGTCATCAAAACAAGACGGTTTGAGATGTCGCCCTGGAGTGTGGTGTTATTTATTTTTCCACTATTTTCTGACATTTAAACACCAAGATGAAGCAATAATTGTGTCACAGATTGTAGGTTTCGTAGAATATTAGAAAGGTGAGCCAGTTTTTCACACGGGGTGGGTTTTTCTTGGACTCTTACAGGCGTCCTTTGTTTATAACTTACTGTAAAATGAGGGTGAAGCTGGTATTTCAGGGCAGACGACAGACCAGACAGTTTGCAAACTGTATGTAGGGAGAGCTCTTTGTCCTCCTCATGTGGCCGAATAAGGAAGTGAGGAATTTATAATCCCTAAAAAGATGTTTTGGAAATAACATCAGTCTTTGAAACTTGGCTGCAAGAAAAATTAGCCAGCCGTTAAATCTTTTAACATCATTTTTGCTGCTCCTCGTGAGCCTCGGTTCCCATCGGGGAGTGTTTATCCTCACAGCAACCGGTTCCTGAACATGGACCCCAGCAGGCAGCACCTCCATGCCTGTTTGTTTGCTCCCCCTGTTGGTGATTAGTAATACTGCTGCAGCTCCTTTACCCCCTGTTAGCCCCCCTCTACCCCCCTGTCTGCTACACACTGGGACATTACCATTTGGTGAGACTGACTGGCTTTGGTGAGGGAGCTGGTGGGGCTCCGGCAGGGGGTACTCCTGCGCTCAAGGCTCCCTTTTTCATCGCCCGAGCTGCTCGATCTCTTTGTTATCGTTGAACGCCCACGTGTCGTTGCTGTAGAAACGGGGAGATTGGCACAATCTCTGGATCTGCGCGGATAAGCTCAGCGGGTTGAGCTTTTGACCTTGCAGGGAATTGAGACGCACACCTTGTGCGCCTGTATGATAAATATATTTAAAGCCCATGCCGCGTGTTACGTAATACAAGGTTAATCTAACGTCAAGCAAGACCGATTTTGTTGCAGCTCTCGACTGCAGGGAGAGCACAGATGGATTGAGGCGAGGGTATAAAGATTGTGCAGTGAAGGTTTGGGGCTTCTTGAAGGCTCCCAGACTGATTTAAAGGCAGCAGCAGTACACTCATCTCAACAGTAGGCGTCAGCACCAAGCAGACTGATGCTGCACGCTGTCAGCAACGCATGGGAGGGCCAGCGTCTGCCTATCGATAAGTTGAGTCCAATAATCAGAGATGTAAAGGAAGTTGAAGGAAAAAAACATTCGGATTTGTGTCTTGCTGCACCTTTCTGAGCTTCTGTATCAGTATTGTTTTTGCAGTAGGTGATGTAGTTGCATTGAACAGGCGTGGGTCCTTCTCTGAGACGTGGTGCGTCCTCCAGAAGGTCACGACCTCTGAACTAGAGGTCACAGACCCACTAACCAGCTGTCCACACAATAACTGCAGAGTTTTCCTCTCAGCTGTTGCTCAGAAATTAATCAACACTCCCTTCTCTATATTCTTAGCACTTTTTTTTTCAAGCTGATTAAATATGGTAACGAGTAACAAACAGATTTTGTTCTAATTGACTGTTTAAACTCTTACGGTATAATCTTCTTTCCAGTCTGACACCTGGTTCAACACTTTTCTGCCGTTTTCACACCAGCAGAACAGAGGAAGAGGAAACAATAACAGTGACAATTTGCCATCATGTGTCACAAAGCCAAGCCCCCTTTGAACGTGCCCCACTTCACCTCCTTTGTCATTCAAATAACCTCATGAATATTTCACTCCTCTGATCTGTCGGCTGGATGAAGACGGGGAGAGAACGAGGGGCAGGAGGAGACTTGAAAGAGTCGTAATCTTCGGCGTGGTTTGAGTCAGACTAATGACCTGTGTGGCGACGGGCGAAGCTGGTGTGTAACTGGAGTGCGAGACGGTTTGTCACGTCACACTGTAGAAATCACAGCACACAGAAACAGTGAGTGCTGCTGTTTCTCAGTCACTCTTTTCTTTCCTCCCTCTGTCCTTGAAGGGATGTTGTGTGTGTGTGTGTGTGTGTTTTGTTTTTCCTTTCGGAGGGTTTTTTTTGTGCATTTTGTTGGAGAACGCTTTAGAAAGCAGCCTGCAAGAAATTACAACAGACCCTAATTACATGTGTCAAGCGACACAGTCACCTTGCTGTGCAGGCCGGCCTGTTTGTTTGCCATTACAGTGTAGCCGCAGCCTGGGCCGGCTACTGGGTGAAAGGTAAAAGCTAATGAGGCAAGTGGAGGAAATACTTGTAACCTATGAATGCACTCTGACAAAGGCCAGCGCGGAAACACAGGAACTGAAGGTGCTCTTGACGTGGCCCTTTTCCTTTTTGTGAAGTGGCTTTAGAGCACATTAGCTTGCCTCTCGTGAGATAGGCTGACAAACAGCAGCCCCCCCCCACCCCCTGACTCAAGTGCTCTTAATTGAGAAAATAGCATCACCCTGCTGCTCCACATCATCACCACCACGTCACAACTCCATCATATATGGCAGTTTTGTTAATGATATGCGGCGTGGCCCCTTTAAGAGCCCAATGTCCTTTTTTTTTTTTTTTTTTTTTTGAGAATGAGACTCAGAGCTCCGTGTGTGCTGACTGACCGTGGCCTCTGGGTTGGTCACTGGGGTTGGGTTGGAGGGGGGGTGGAGGAAGCTGCAGCAGGGGAATGGCTAACTGATTCTAACCTCCCCAGCCCCCGTTTAGACCAAACAGCAGCCTCGCCGCGCCGCATGCCCTTATCTACCAATGGAATGCAACAGCTGTGCGGGGGAGCGGCAGGGTGGGCTGGCTGAAACCCCCCTGCCAGACCCCCGCACGGCTTCTCCCCCCCCTCCTCCTCCTCTACACCACCACCACCACCACCACCTCCAAGCGACGTGCCCGGCTCCTGAAAGGCAGCTCAACTAAAAAGTGAGCTAGACACAGTGAGAGACTCGGCAGGGCTGCTGCACATTCAAAACAGAGGGAGAGGGAGGGAAGAGAGAGAGAGAGAGAGAGAGAGAGAAGGAGAGAGAGAAGGAGAGTCAGGGACAGGCAGTGCTGAAAAGGAGAGCACAAAGAGAAGGAAAGTGGAGCAGGGGAGGGGAACAGGAGGCTGGGTGAAGGGAGAGGGAAAGACAAAAGAAGGAGAGGGGAGACATAGCAGGGTGAACGGAGGGGACTGAGCAAATGGCTACGGAGGAGACGGCGGGGGGAGCCAGGAAAGCCACCAAGAGCAAACTGTTTGAGTTCCTGGTCCATGGAGTGGTGAGTGGCGCTGTCCGTCATTCCCGTGAAGCGAGCTGGGCTCTGGCATGCATCCGTGTGCGCGTCTGTGTGTGTGCATGAGTCGGCGCAGCGGTCTGTGTGTGAGAGATAGCTGGGTAAAAAGCTGGCCATGTGAAGGTTATTTCCAGCCCCCTGGATCCCAGCCTGTTAGGAGATGGCTTGAGAGAGAGAACAAGAAGTGGAGCAGCATGGATGGATGGGAGGGAGGGATGGAGGGGGGGAGCGGGGAGAAGAAGGATGGGGAGCAAAGGATTTCAAGCACAAAAAAAAAAAAGAAGAAGAAGGGATAATTGTAGAAATAGAGGCTCAGCAGCAGCAGCAGCAGCAAAAAAAAAGCAGCCAGCTCCCCCTTTGGCTAGCAGAGCAGCACCACTGAGCATGCTTCCCTGGGAGTCACAGACAGAAGGGGGGGAAATGACGAGTCCACTCAAAACAACACAGCCGGAGTGGGCTTCCAGGCGGCGTGTCGCTGGTCGGTGGAAGGATTTGAACCTGTAAGGTCACGAGACAAACGGACGTAATATCGTAGATGGAGCCGAGGCAGACTGCCAATCCTGGAAATCACGCAGAACAATCAGCCCATTCATGTGAAGCTAGCATGAAATGTCAAGTCAAGTGTTGCTCATGGTTAGAGGTTAGGCAACTATTACCATAAGCCTGAAACAGCACATTAATAACAGCGCGTGGAGCACAGTGGTGGTTTGTTTTGGTCGTGGATGTGGAGTGTTCAGGGCGATGTGAAAATATTGTTGTTTTTTTAAAAAAATCCTTTCCTGTTGGAACTTTTAGCACATTTGACTTTGACTCAAGTGTGTAAATAAACATGTAATTCCTGGCAGTGTTTCCTAACCTTTGTGTGCTTGTGACCTGTTAAAACAAAGCCTGAGCTCTCATCTCATGCCTACCCTCTGAGTTTAATTTTTCAGTGCAGTAATTAAGACTTAAATTAATTATTGCTTAATGTGCCGGTTATTTTTTTTGATTTATCGTTCAGTCAGCGCGTTGCTCAGCACGAAACCTTCAAAAGTCTTGTTTTGTCTGATAGAAAAAACCCCATAAAACCCTCAACAGATCTTCAGGTCGACAGCAAAAATATTTAAACTAGGAACACTGAAATTTAAAAAAATGTACAGTGATTTTTTAAAAAACAATTTGTAAAATAAGCAGACAATCAATCACTTATCAGAATGTTTGCCATTTGCTGCTCTGTCGATTCAATTTTAAAATATTTTTTCTGTGAGATTTCGCAGCAGAGCAATGACAGGACATGAAGGGCAAGAGATCAAGTTCAATTATTTAACGTTTAAAATAACCTGAGTTGGTCAAAGTGCCGTGCATCTTAACAGTCAGACAGTCATAAAGCAACTCATATGTAAAATTATATAAAACACTGCAATAAGGAAAACAGGGTAGTGAGTTACAAGGTCAACGTTTGAGGTGAAATTAATATAAAGTGTTAAAAAAAAATAACCACTGAAAGCATGTACGTCTTGAGGTTTTTCTTATTAATTGTCACCAGAGGAGGAACTTTTTATTTATTGCTTTTTATTAATAATATTATGCATCTGGTCTGCACAGAAAAAAACACACAAAAACCAACCCTCGACCCTCTTACATACAATTCTGGAACCATGTTATGGTTTCAGTTTCCTGATTAAGTTCAACTGAAGTTCACCTTCACCCAGATTCTGACGCTGACTTCACTTTCTATACTGAGGCGGTCAAAAAGACGTTGTGGTTCTTGTTTGTTCAGCTGAAGAAAAAAAAAAGAATTTCAAACCGTTACTATTTAAATGAAGGCATTGTATGAATAAACAAGGAACCGCTATGGTCCTGTGATGTAAATTTCATCTTTTGCTCGAGTCCACAAGAGTCTACGTGCAACTCAGAACTGGCACAGACAGTCCACACAGCCACTACGGTACAAGGGCATTAGTGTTCATGGGCAGAATAGGTAAATGGTGATCTACTGTGCATGTTCGGACCAGAGGTCTCTAAGTGGACCCCAAAGGGACTAGAAAGTAATATAATAATAAGTGGTGTTTGCAGCTGTTGGTGTGCGTGTCCACAGGAGAGTATAATCAAGGTCTGACTTGAACCAGTTGCGTTGTCGTCCATGGCTGATGCTAGGATGCTCATTTTATTACTTTACAGAGACCTGGATTAGTTAAAGTACACATTATTTCATGACAAAAAAGCAGAATTTAGAGAAATGTACAGAAAAGAATCTAAATTTTGTGTCGTAGGTTTTGTCTCAATTATTTTATATTTGAAAAAAAATGCAGCCGACTCCTCACAGTCCTCTAATGACCCCTTGTAGGACTCGACCAACAGATTGGAAAGAGCAAAAACAATTTACAAAAGTAATTCAGTTAGTATTTAAAAACGTTTTTGAGACTGACTGAGTTAAGTTTTTAACTGCCTAGACGTCACTGGTGTTGGCTTTTCAAAGTTGATGCTGGTTTCCTGTGGGGTCTTTTCTACCACAGGAAGTTTCCCATAGGAACCTTAGGAGGAACTCCATTTGTTGCCACCACAGGGACCAGGATCAAAATTAAATTTAGAGGGTAATTATTTTACCCAAATAGTCACTATCAGTTCAGACGTACAGTAACTTTGGGGTTTGCGGCGCTAAACGTTTCTGCTCGGTTGAGTACTTCTTAAAAATCTGCAGCTGTACATACAGATTGTTTATTAGCCTTCAACATGTCAACTGGGAGTTACAGAGCAAAGTAAATGGACTGATGAAGAAGTATAAAATGGCTGCACGCAAAAATTGCCTGTAAAAACAGCCGATGCTTTTTCATATGTCAGCGGGCTGATTTGCGTGAGCTTTGGGGGTCTTTTGACCTTTGTGCAAAATGTAGGCAACGAAGATTCTGAAGGAACCTTGAACAAAACGACTTTGGTCGGATACATTGAATGGAAATTTTGGTTTAGTCTTTCCAAACAATTAGAAAACAATCAATACTAGCCTAATCCCGATCATAAAAAGCCCTGTCCTTCAGTAGATACTGCGGTTTCCATCGTCTGCTGAACTGAATTTTACCTTTGCACTGATCCCGAAACTTGGCATCTCTTCCAAATCCTCAAGTACGCCGAGAAGGTCAAGTAGACTTGACAGTATGTGTTTGTCTAATCCTTTTATGTCTTAAAGTCCCAGAACTTGTTTGACAGAGTTCTGGTTTTAGATTTAACTCCATTTTAATCAGGGCTGATGTCGGGCGTAGTGACACCAGCTCGATTTATACACTGAAACAAGATGAGCTATTGTCTCTTTGACAGGAGCGGTCATTACAGGGGCTTCGGTGCTGACGCCCTGCGCACAGAGACAGACTTTAGGAAACAATGGACCAGGTGATTGATGAGCCAGATGAGTGTGTCCTCTCAACAGACCAATTAACCTTGATGAGGCTCGGGCTGCTCCAAGCCAAATATTTCCCTCTGCTTATTTTCTCTCATGCCTGCCTCTCCTCGTTCCTCCGTCTCTCCCCCACATTTCTAGGCTGGAAAAGTCTTGTTGTAATAGTTGCGGCACGTTCCCCGGCATGTATACTGCAGAATGGAGAAATATTTATACTATGGGATATGGGGATGATTTGGCGCAGTGTGTTAGCTTGTGGCGAGCGATGACGTTTCCTTTTCCCCTCGTGGGCGAATAAAGCAAAGTGAGCTTTTTCGACGCACAAAAGCACACATGCACAGATGTGTTTACATACATAAAACATGTATAAATACGGCGAAGGCAATCATAGTTGTGGCTACTCAAGGTCGTAGTGTTCCACTCTCCCAGCAGCACCCAAGACCGATGGGTGGGCTGAGGTCTCTTCCTCCTTCTCTTTCATTTTCTGCCTCACCTCCCCCTGCTGTGTTACTTCTCTGGCTCATATGAGTGGAGGTCAGCGAGGGCTGAGGTGGAGGGAAAAGCCTTCCAGCGCTCTGCGTGGGAAACCCCGATAAGCCAAAACACAATACGACACACTGTAGCTTTGTCGTCTGTAAATTCAGAGTATGTCTTTGTGAGGACAGTGAACATAAACTTCACCTTTTTCTCACACTTGGATTGTCTTTATTGTTTCCTTAAAAGGTCAGGTCGCCTAAATCACACAAAAAAAAGTTATAATCCAGGATGTCTTCCTTCGCTCTGGCACAATAGAAAGTTCGTCTGTGGTGCCACAGCATTGACAAGTTCAATTAAAAAGCGAAATTCAGCAGCCACTTGACTTTCCGAACACAATGCCCCGGTTACCCTGAAACATCCACAGACCTTGCCATGTTGGGTTTTCATTAAAAAATTACTTTCTACCAAAGAAAAAGTCACCATAAAAACAGTTCACGCTGTGTTACATGGAATAATGAGGACATTGTTTTTCAAAAAGCTGATTCTGTTTAATTTTTTAATTTTATGTTTTAACATTGTGAAGCTCCATTTACCTCAGTTTGATACAGGTGACGACTAATGATTTAAAATCCCAGCACATAAAGCCATCAGATACCTCTAACGGTAAATAATATCTGCATCATTTTGACAAATTAACCCCAGATTTAATCCAGATTTAGCACTCTATTTGATACTTGGCGTTAGAAATATTACTATAAGCCTGTATGACAGTTTAATTTTATATTACAGTATTAATACGTATCAGGACACAGTTTCTAGAAAATTAATTGAGAGACTATTGATGGATAAAACAACCAGACAGGCATGTCTGTTTTGACTAATCCAGCTAATTAAATACCTCATAAATAAGGGTACATAATCACATTAAAGCAGCATTCATATACAATACTGTTTAATACAGCATAAAAGTGTCCTTAAGATTGATGTGCAACATTTCCCACAATAGCTGAACACAACCAGAGATATTACATGAATGAATACCACAGTGTCATTGAACAAATTTATACGACATCCTGAAAAATAGTTTTTAAAAAAATCTAAGATGGTCAATTTACAGTGAAGGTTTCTCTCTCTCTTC